GAGAGCGCGCGGCGCGGGTGCCCGCTGGCATCCGGCCCGCGCCCGAGCTCTCGGGCAGCTGCGCTGTCCGCTGGCGCCCCGCTTGGCTTGCACACGGTTTCACGACGTAAAAGCCCATAACGGCGGCAGCAGCTCTAAGGAGAAGCGGGACGCGCTGCCCTCAGCGGGAGGGGGCAGGACGCGAGAGAAAGCCTCCTTCGCTACACAAACAAAGTAATTTCCTCATGGGCCCTGGGATGACAAACCTCTTGCTGCGGTGATACGATGGGGTTATAAATTGAACTCTCATCCCTGACTCACTTCCTTAGACTCCCTTCCGATATCCGTCACCATCTCCCCGAGCAGGTTTCCTCTGGTGCAGCTGCAGCAGCTCTGTCCGTGTTTGCAGAGCTCCCTCCTTCCTGCACACGGCCTCTTCTGGGGTTTGCCAGTTTGGTCGGCGTTAGGAGCCGCGCTCAAGCGTTGCCATCGCTTTGCCTCCGCAGACCCCATCCCCGTGCGCGTCACATCAGCTCCCGCGCGCTCCCTGCTCCCCAAGCCTGTCTCCGTACGTACTGGCGCATCCACCTCCAGAGCCCAGGCTGTAGGAAGCCCTGCTAGTCCGGTGACTGCCCTGGCACGAAGTGCAGCAAGACAAAGCTTGAAGCCAAGACTGTCACAGCAGAGAAAGCCGCACCTGGCGCCGTGCTGGCGCACGACCTGTGCCACATCCTTTTACCTGCTCAGTGACCTAGGGTGCCGCGTACAGCTGGTTGTTGCCATCTGCCGTTTGGTGGCAGCAGGCCTGCACGTGCAGAGGCTCGCGCTCGAGGGCGTTTCGTGGGAAGGTGCTTGCCCTGGCTTGCAGCCCCGTCCCATGATCCTGCCTGTCACATGAGAGGTGATGGCATCTCCCAGTCCCCCAGATCTCATGCATTAGACTAAAATATCAAGAGAGCTGGAAAGCGAGTAACCAACAAGCTCAGCCTAGAGGAACCGTAAGCTCCTTGCAGCACCTGAATCCCAGTGTGGTCACCGCAGTGTTTATTGATTCTTACTGCCTTGAGACCTGTCATTCTGAGGGTCAGGGCTGCTGAGTAATCTATGGTGTCTTTTGTTACACAGTGTTGACAAAGCCTGGAAAGAACTGAGTAACATCCTCTCAGGAATATTCTGTGCTTCCCTGAACTTCATCGACTCCACCAACACCGTCACTCCAACAGCGTCCTTCAAACCCCTGGGCTTGACCAATGGTGAGAGAGACCAGTGCTTGCCTGAAAGGCTGGCTTTGCGCTCTGACCCATCTCTAGCTTTAGCTCTGCTCCGTGCCGCTGCAGAGAGCGCGGGTGCAGGTCTGGCAAGGACTCTTGGTCGTCTGTGATTTTTTTCCTGAATTCACTGTGATGAGATATCCCTAGAAGAGGAAAAATCCATCCCCAGAACAAATACTACTGGAGCTCCTGCGCTAGCTGGCTCCCATGCAGGGGCAGGAGAGCGAGGGTGCCCATTCTGTCCTCTCTGTCAGCTACTGCTGCTGTCAGGAGGCTCGTTTAATGCCAGCTGCAGTATTAGGTATCTTCACATGGGCACATGTACGACAGGCACTGACTGAACTCTCATGTAAACCTCCTTTTGGAAGTGTTTCCTCTCTTTACTAATGAGGCTTAGATTTGAACAGAGAAAACCCGGAAGCAGTATGTGGCAGATGCTCCCTGGCCCTCAACTCTCTGAAAAGCTTTTTACAAAAAGCTTTTTTAAAATCCTTTACTGCAGGGTTTAAGGCTCTCAAAAAAAAAAAAAAATCTGCTAGGAGATACCCTTACCTGTTCTCTCCAAATCTCTCTGACCAGAGTGAGGATCCCTTCTTCACTGAGCTCATGGCACTTCAGGTATATTCAGAGGGTAGTGTGCTCTGGGGTACACTGGAGGATGAGGCAGGGTTGCTTCAGCTGTCCTGCCCATAGCAGTACCAGCCCATTAACCCTCCGCCTCCCTGTCCAGGGACAGATCACCGTCTCCTGCGATATGCCGTCCTGCCCCGGGAGATCGTCTGTACAGAAAACCTTACGCCTTGGAAGAAGCTGCTACCATGTGGCTCAAAGGTAAGGGCAAGTCCCATTGCCTTGTTGGGCCACTCTGTGGCCCAGAGCTGGGTTCCCGACAGCAAGCCGCTAACACTTACGAAGAGGTTGCAGTAGGGTCTTGCTCTCTCTCTCAGCAGGGACAGAGAACAGACCGTGGAGTTTTTCCTTTTCTTTCTGCAGGCTGGTCTTGCTGTGCTGCTCAAGGCTGAACGCTTATTCCACAGCAGCTACCACTCGCAGGCAGTGCATATCCGCCCCATCTGCAGGGTAAGCGTGAGGCTCAGTGGCTCCCTCCTGTGCCTGTCCCTTGCTCCAGGACCTGGGAAGAGAGGTGTTGTCAGGCACCTTGTGGCGTTCCTGATGCTTTAGGAACGGAATAGAGGCTGAATATTAGGAAGCTTTTCCCAGTGCTGAGTCATTGACAGATGTAACACACCCCAGGAGAAACCAGAAGCCTTGTTGCTGTGACACTGCAAGGTGACACGCTGCTTTGCCCAGCTCCCCTGCAGTGGGTTCAGTTTGTCTAATAGAGGTGTTGTCCTGCTTCTCTAGTCTTACCTGGCCCTGATGGGATTTGTGCAATCCTGGTGTAGCTCTAGCTCCCTCCTGGCGCCTTGCCCTTCTGGTAGGTGTGATCAGAGCAGCTTCTTCTCTTCTCCAGGATGCTTCCTGTCTGGCTGTTTCCTGGGAGCTCAGGCAGACCCTCACTGTGGTCTTTGAGACCTTTTCCAGTGGCCAAGGAAAGAAAGGTAAGCTCATTGCCAGCGCGCTGTGGTCCCTGCGTGCCCATGGCCTGCTTTATTCAGCCTGACACTGGCTTTGCCTCCCGCAGACTGGTCCCTCTTTAAGATGTTCTCTCGCACGCTCACTGAGGCATGTCCTCTGGCATCACAGAGCAAGATCTACGTTGACGTCTCCGCTAAGGACAAGGTAACCCTTGCGAATGAGAGAAGGCACTCTGCTCTCCCTGTTCAGCTGCTTCCGTGTGACACTGGAGCACTCGCACCTCTGCCCAGACTGGTCCCTCGGGGAGACCTCCCTGGGCTAATGAAGGGATGTGGCTGCAGTTACTTTCTTCCTCAGAGCAGGGCTGTCAGAAGTGGTCAGGATTAGTGCATTGATGCTAGCAAGAGGGCAGAGCAAGCTGTTGGGTGAGAAAGCTCAGGGCTAGCCAGGGCTGGGCGCTGCCCAGCTCTTACTGCAAGGAGGGACGTTTCCTTTCATGCTCCACTTGCTTTCCCAGG